ATAATTCGTTTCTTTATAAGTGTTTCTAATTGGTGTTGTACAAATTATTGAATCTATAAGCCTATTTTAGATTGTGAATAAAAGATATTACTTTATGTGCAGGATGGAGAAACGTACTGTATAGATGCGAGACGTTACGGGAATATTGCTCGGTTCATTAATCATTCGTGCGCGCCGAATTTGTTGCCAGTGCGAGTGTTCGTCGAACATCAGGATTTGCATTTTCCAAGAATAGCCTTCTTTGCTAATCGCGACATCGAGGCAGATGAAGAGCTTGGGTATGTTAAAAAGCGGTTCAAGTTATTGCAACGCCGGAGATTAGAGACACTCGCTGAGCTTCTAAATTAACTAACAGGAACACATTGTTGCATAGTAATTTCCATTAATAAATTTAAATAAGTTTAACGTTCCGTTTTTTTTGGGTTCAATCAATAGCACGTAGTTGTAGCTTTCTTTTCTTACATACTTCGTCTTTTAATTCTCGGTCGTGGTTCATATATACTTTAATAGCAAAGTATTCTTTTACTTTTTGTTAAGTGTAGACTAATAAAATGTTATACGTTTACCTAATAAAGATATTTGATCAATACGTGACGCTCGTAGTTAGACATTACTTTGACGTTTCAAGAAATAAAGATACGGTGAGCTAAGCCATTATTCGCAGTTCCATCAGAATTTGTTTTCCCTCTAGCAAGCGTGCGTAAAGAATATTTCGATTCTCTTTGAGATCGACCGTGGCACCGATCCCATGGATATGCCGGAAGCATCGTCCTCCAATTCCGCGGCGTCTAGCAACAGAAACGAGTCGGCGGTGCACAGGACTCACAGGTCACAGGACTCACAGGACTACGTTTACACGGGGAATCCCCGACGAGTACGATAATTCCTCATTTCTAGGTTCTGAACTAGTGCAATAAGTTAGAATAAGACAAATATATAAAGAACAGGCCTTCTGTTTTCTCCTCCTTTGCCAGCATTATGTGAGAATCTTTAATACTGTTTTGACAATGTTGACACTTGACAGTTTATCATTGCTTTTCAAGGTTAATAATGAGTCACATTGGTAGACCTACTCATAATTTTTGGGAGAAAGGTGGTTATGAGCGGCGTAAAGAAGGCGGAAAAATAATGGCATATTGTTTGATATGCAAGAAAACTCTTACAAATACTGCGAAAACCAGATTACAAACACACAGGTAAGAAAAATAAATAGTGAATAGTAAATAGTAAGACAACAAAAATGAATGAATTAGATAAAATATATTTGGAATTTTAATTTATATTTGCAGAAATGTTTGTAGAAACGAAACGAACTTGTCAAGTGCTCTTCAAAGTCCACAGTCTGCTGAAAAATCCATTTCAACTGACAATAATGAAAATGTTATGGAAACAATTGATTTGGAAAGTATCCAATCAGCGAGTATTGCAGTTGATGCAGTCACTTCATCTGATCAGAGAATATCCAAATACGCCAAAGTTATTGCTATAGGAGTTAAAGATGTCCCGAAGGTTCCAATTCTTCCTGATTTTAATATGCAAACTCTTTCACATCAAGAATTTAATCATGCAGTGTCAACTACTCTTTCACATCCGAAAAAAATGAAAACTATGCATCAGAAACGCAAATTAAATTCATTTATTGATTCTATTTCAAATCAGCAGAAGACCAAAATTGACGATACTTTGGTTAAATTTTTGTACGGATGTAATATTCCTTTAAAAGTGGTTGAATCAAAGCTTTTCTTGGATTTTATAAATGCCATACGACCTGCGTACACGCCACCACCTGCAGAATCGATGTCGAATGATATTCTTCATGATCTTCATGCAGAATTTAGGAAACATCAGTCAACTTTCTCCCATTCCAATGGAATATTAGTCATCACAACGACAGAAATTAAACAGACGTTTCACGTAATTGGTTTCGTACAAAGTCAAGAAAAAATAATCTATCTAAAGACATGGGATATCCAAGAAGATAACAATTTATCACTCATGATTAAAGAAGCAATAACTCTCGCAAGCCTAAAATTCAAAATGATAATTTACGCTGTCATCACTGATGAAGATATTCGATTGCTTAACACAGATGAATGCAGCAAGCTGTGGATCCTACAATGTAACTTATCCTTAGCTGCGTCTATTGAAAAGGAGCTTGTCGATTTGGAATTTGTTGAAAAAGTTCGTTATTTGCTTGACCAGTTTTCAAGTAAGGAATTACAAAAGGACTTAATAATACGAGGAGGAGTAGCTTTCGTGTTAGAAGGCAATTCGTTTTGTTATAACCGCGATCTATTTTCTGCTTGCTTGAAAAATTTACGTGCTATGACACAAATGATGGGCGAGAGACAATATAAACTTAAGAAAGAGGTTTTAAATATACTGATTGATGAATCGTTTGAAGAAGATTTGAACCATTCCTTGGATTTGCTTAAGCCTGTTTACTGCATTGCAGAAAAGTGTGAAAAGTCGAAGTTCAAGATTGCTGATGCTACAGAGGATTGGTTGATGCTGGCGTCGACCGAAAATGCATATTATAATTCATTTCAATCACGAATCAACGCAATATTGACACCGGTCGCACTAGTAGCAAATCTTCTGCACCCTATTTATCGAGGCCACCGATTTAAAAATGATCGAAGTCGCATGAAAAAAGTAATGGAGTTTTTAATTAATGAATTGGATGAAGAGGGAATGAACGACTTTGTAAAATACAAAAATTCAACAGAAATCTTTGGTTCACGTCAACTTATGGATTACACCAATGAACAAATTTTTTGGCAAGCAGTTGCTCCTGTACATCCAAAATTATCCTCTTTCGCGATACAAATTCTGCAACTTCCAGCTGCTGCACCAAAATTAAAATCCTATCCCATTAATTTAAATAATTTAACTCCAAAAAGATTCGAAAAGATAACAGACTTATTTTATCATCTAAACATGTAAATGAAAACATTAATTTCTTGTCATGAGACTATGGTTAGATATGTAAAGCCCGCTGCAGACGATGCTATTTTTCCTGCTGGATTGCTTGCAATCTAATAAATTACTATCACTGCACCACTCAGCACTCAGGATTTCTAGTAATTTACTAAATCGCGAGCAATCCAGCAGGAAAAATAGCATCGTTTGCAGCGGGCTTAAGAAATTTAAAGTGAAAGAACTACTATAAAACTAATAATACAAAAATATTTTGTATACTAAAAATGTTAATTTACTTTGCGTTCTTGTTTCTGATTATTTTTGTTAGTGGAATACCAAAAAGCGCTTAACCGTTATCAGATTAGCGATTAAGATTGAAATTTAACCAATCAGAGCAAAATTCATTAAACTTGATATTGGTCTTCTTATGCTGAGTGGTCAAATTTTAATTCAATTTCGATCTTAATCGCTAGTTTGATACGGGATAATGACAATGTTATTATTTAATTTAAGTAAACATGTTTATTTATTATTTAACTTTAAGCGCATTTAACTAATCTAGTTAATTACATGATCTTAATAAATAATTGTTGTGAGACTGGAAAAAATAATAGTACAAACTGTTTTAAATAAAATATAATGTATTTTTGAAAAACATTGATTTAGTCTTTGTCTCTGTATAGAACTTAAAAGTAATTCTCAGTTTTTTAAACAAATGCTATATATTTAAATATATGTATAGAGATATTAATCTGATTCTACCAAATCATCGTAATAATCATCAAAATATTCATTCATTTTTAAAGTGTAATAAATATCAACCAATTTCATAGACCGGTCAACAGTAAGACGATTACGCAAATCTGAATGAACAAAGGCCCAGAAAGAAAAGAGTCGTTCAAGTTGCGCTGAAGCAGCCGGAATTTTTAGTAATCTCTGAGCAAGCGATGATAGGTGAGGACAGAATGGTTCAGCTGTGATCCAAAACGTTTCCGGTAATGTAATATTTCGCTTCTGCAATTTTTCAAAAATACCAAGATTCTTCTGATATGAATCCAATCCCGGTTCATCAGTAATAAATTGTAAATTCAATTCTTGTTTCAAAAAGTCAAAAACCATTTTCATTTTTTGTTCATCGTGTAAAAATCGTTTGGCCCGGTACTGAGGATGTAAAAAGTTCGAAGTCAACACAATTGGTGTTAAAACTTTATTCAGTCGGTTATCTAACTTTTGTTGCATTTCATCATTAACTGTCGGAATTTGTAATTTTAACCATTCTTCACACCCCTCGGCTATACTGCAATTAGATTGCTGACAGACATTTATCAATTGACATATTGGGTCAAAAATCAAGATAAAATCTTGTAATTGCATCGCAAATGAGGGATCCTTCAGTAGATTTTCGCTTTTACTATCTAGTTGAACCTTTTTCTTAGCAACTAATGTTTGCATCAGACATAAATTTTGTAGCAGGCATCTGAATGCATCTCTGTAGCTACACCACCTTGTATCACATGCTAAAATAATTCTGGAACCTCCTTGTTGCTTTAATTCATATTCTGCACCTGGTGTCTTAAATGCTCGCAAAAGGTTATTTACTTCCTTCGCAAATGTCTCTGGCACAAAGGCCTTTGCTAACAGATTGCCACTGTGGCTGTGACAAGTAGTGTGCCAAATGTCTACTTTTTTTCCCATCGATATCATTGCCGATGCATTATCTGAAACCACAGCATATGTAGTGATATTGAACTTTTCTTTTGCTAATTTCTTTCCTTCGTCGACGATTTCTTTGAGTTGATCACCAGTTTCTTTCAATCCGGTTAAATCCCAGGATTTAAGGAATATGCACTTGGAGTTTACTGTGTGAATTGTGCATACAACATTTTTCGTATTAGCTGATGAATTTTTCCATCCATCAATCAATAGAACGCCATCGGATCCAAGAGATGAGACCCTTTCAGCCAATAGAGTCTGGTAAACCTTGTCGAGCAGATTTGTAGAAAGTTTTTTCCTTGTTGGAGGTTTGTATGTTGGAAGTAACAGTTTCACAAAGTTTTTAAAATATTGTGATTCAACAACGTTAAATGAAATGTTACACCCAAAAAAAAATTTAGCTAATGCTAAATCAATCTCCTCGTTAGCTGCCAGCGCTTTCGTATGCTTAGATATTGATAATTGTTTGGATACTAATCGCTGTTTTTTTGGATGAGGAGTTGAATATGTTGGCTGTAAAGCCTGTAAATAAACAATTACTTTAATTTTTCTCAAACAAATGAAATTTGAAAACATGTACATGATATCGTTTCTTATTCTTGATTACTTACCTGATTGATTCTATCGTTGGAATTCATTTTTTCTTTTTTTATACTGTCTTTCCCTCCTCATCGTACCAACATCGCAGGCTTATATTTCCGCATAAACACTTTTCGGAACTGCAGTTATCCTCGCATCGACAAGACTGCAATGATATAATGGTGCGGTCCACATTGATGTTGCTCGTGAAACAATTCTCCGTTACATAAAGAAAGTCCGTCGGCTTGTCCTCAGAATCGTATCCGTTGACACACTGTATAGGATTCGTTTCCTTTCCGCGTGAAATGTCGCTGTAAAAAGAGAGAACGGATGATACAAGAAAATTATCATAGAACAAAAATCAGGCAAATAAAGCGACCTTTTATTATATTATCGTACACATGATGTAATCTTTGATGTTGTAACTCAGTTGACGCAATAATCTCGACAGAAATTGCGTAATAAAATTTCTTAATATACCGAACTCTTTCATAAAGAGTTACGTTATGTCACTCGTATATTTTTTTTATACAGATAGCCGTGCTGTACTTGATAAAATTCCGTACTTACTTCGTCAATATCTTAACAGTCTTCTCCCACATATGCTCGGAGAGTTCGTTGACTTTCGCGTTCAATCTCGTCCACGCCGACCCACACGTTGTCT